ACCCTTGAACCCTGAACCCAAAAAACCCTTGAGGCCTTGAGGGCTGAGAGTTTAGGGCCTCTGCCTTGCCCCTCCCCGATCTGACCGCGTGAGGCTTTCGGAGTGTTGTTTGCTGCAATCTCTGTTTAGGGTTTAGGGTTTAGGGTTTAGGGTTTAGGGTTTAGGGTTTAGGGTTTAGGGTTTAGGGCTTAGGGCTTAGGGTTTAGGGTTTAGGGTTTAGGGTTTAGGGTTTAGGGGTGTAGGGCCTTCACGGCCTTCAGGGCCTTTAGGGCCTTCAGGGCCTTTAGGGCCTTCAGGGCCTCTAGGGCCTTAAGGAGGCTTTTGTGAGGAAATTTTGGGGACGGTTCTTGATACCCAAAGCCCGGCATGCTCAACCCCAAGCCATAGAAACACATGAGGCAAGTATGTCCTTGCTAGCATTTCTCCAAAGAGCCGCTGGTACACACCCGTAAACTCTTGGCTTTCAAGCCTCAAGGCCTAGATCAGCTGGCAAGAGGCCGTCAACATCCTCCCACCTACAGTAACCAGCCCTCAAAAAGCCCCAAGTCTTGCCATGTTCAACGAATGTACACACATGGAGAAATTCTGTTGGGGATGGGGGGGTTAGCAACCGGGTAGTCTTAATATTCCCCAAACCCCAAACCCTAAACCCCAAACCCTAAACCCTAAACAGCTACACAGTGGAGGCATGAATGTCAACACACTTCGGCCGGTCCTGGTCGATCACGGTCTTTGTCTTTGTTCCGCTCCGGGCTGTCCAAGCGACCTTCCTTCCTTGGTGGGACTTCGGGTTTAAGGGTTTAAAGGTTTGGGGTTTAAGGGTTTAGTGTTTAGGGTTTTAGGAAGACCAGAATATGGTATAATGAAGAAGAAATACAGGAAAACCAGAGGAATTGAAGTTTAAGATGTGTGAGGTATCCTGTCGCATCACGCAATGCTTGTGCCGGGCCAGGTACATGGTCCTTGTTGCACTAGCTGCGCCAGCACGGCGACGCGACCAGGAACAGTGGACCTAAACCCCAAACCTTAAACCCTAAACCCTTGACACCCCCAGAAACACCGAAGTCCCTAACCCTTGTTTCGGCCTACTACAAGCCTCCATGCTCAACCTGGCAGAAAGAGCAGGTGAATGGTCTTCAGGCTACAAGGGACTAAGGCTGGACCCTTATCAAGGGACCCTATGGGGTGATGCAATGCAGGGGCTACTTCGGCATAGTTGCTGAGTTCATAAGCCCCGAAAAAGTGTACACTTTCAGCTCTATAGGGGGTCATCGTATCCCAAAAAGTGTTAAAAGTGTGCTCATTCAGCTACTTAGGCGATATAGGGGCCTTACTAATTAAAGAATTGTTTTTTTTTTGGGAGGGGTTAATAGAATTGTGTTTATAAAGGGACCCTAAGGGAATAGTATTAGTTCCGACCCCTATATTATATCTATACCCCCCTTGCAACCTTCATTAATAAAAATAACATTTCTAATATCCTCTTGGGTTTTATATAAACAAAAATCAAAAAATAGTTCGCAAGGGGGATATAGATATAGCTTGCACAAAAACACCCAACGCGCACTGCCAGGGCGCTCGATTCGCGTCAGCAAGGGGAGGATGGCCTGGCAGCTCGGCTTTTTGGGGGTGCTTTTTGGGCACAATCCCTAAACCCTAAACCCTAAATCCTAAACCCTAATCCCTAAACCCTAAATCCTAAACCCTAAACCCTAAACCCTTAACAGGGTTGTTGATTCAAGGGCTCCACGGAGGCTCTGGGAGTCTCATGGCCCCACGGGCAAGAAGGCGTGGGGGGCTTAGGGTTGGGGTTTGGGGTTTAGGGTTTGGGGTTTAGGGTTTAGGGTTTGGGGTTTGGGGTTTGGCGTTTGGGGTTTGGGGTTTGGGGTTTAGGGTTCAGGGTTTTGCCCTTCGAACCCTGCCCAAGGCAGCGTGGCCTGGGATGGGTTCGACACACCTTTCAGATACTTCTCCTCGGAAGGAGGCAGAACGCTCGGAACACCGACTAAAGATTGGGCAGCTTGAGGGTGTTAGTGGCTTAGGATTTAGGATTTAGGGTTCAGGGTTTAGGGTTGTTTAGCGATTAGCGATTAAATGTCGTAGGGCGTTTTTAGTTGAATCTCAACCCTAAAGCCCAAACCCTGAACCCTACTTATCGGGCTTGAAAGGGTTTTCGGGTCTTACCCATAGGGCTTCTTCGGGTCGAACTTCTACGGCCTGGAGGACCTTGCGAGTCGGACTTGTGGGGCTTTCGTAGGGGTTGAGGAGGTTTTGCGCAGCTTTATAGGAGAGCCAGGCTTAGGGTTCAGGGCTAGTTTAGGGTTTTCTACGGCGTTATACAGGGCTCAGGGTTGTTCCATAGCATAGGTAGGGTCCAGTTCAGTTTTCCAGGGCATTGACGAGGGCTTGAGTTTGGGGGTGGATAGTTACTTGGCTACACAACTTTCGATCGGTTAGGAGTTGATGAGATGTGGGTGGCCGAGGCAGTGGACACCCCAGTTCTGAAGCCGGCATCAAGCCTTTGACAATCATGTTGCTTGCGCCGAACGATTTGGGTCAAAAACTAGGGCATTACAAAGATTATGATGTGCAAGAGCCACTATAATATGTTTCGGGGCGCAAGAAGTAGCATTATAGCAGGTTGAGGAGGCTAAAACGATGATGGCGGTGTTCCCTTTCTTGGGGTAAATCTCCTTAGATCCTTGGGGGTTGACACGCCGTCCTAGCGTCTGGAACTGCAGCTTCAACGTAAGCGTTGCTCGGATGGCATAATCTGGGTTAAGAGTTTACGGCTTAGGGGGGTCAACCCTAAACCCCAAACCCGGGTTCATGGAGGCTTTCTTTGGGAAGGGCCCCCGGCTGTGAACTGAACTGTCATCGGAGTTTTGACATGCCGGGCTCGTCCCGCAGAGGCCCTGCAAGAAACCCTAAATCCCGAAGAAAGCCCCGAGTCGGAAAGCCCCCAAACCCTGGTCTCAAACCCTAAACCCTAAACCCGAAACTGTGTTTTGTTTTTTTTGGTTTTTTTTATTCTTGGGGGGGGGGGTGCGGGCCACACCCTCTTGTAGACATCCATGGAGCCAAGTGGCTAGGCGCTTGATGTCGTCAAGCTTCTGACTGCGCGGGTGACAGACCTCCACGAACCTGCAGGGATTCAGAGAGCAAAGGCCCAGCCCGAAACCCTAAACCCCGTAAACCCTTTGCACAACCCTAAACCCGGTTTGGGGATTTTAGGGCTCGGGCTTTAGGGTCTTTGGGGCATGGTACAAGGTTAGACTTGTACTCCGGGATCGTCCTCAGCATGGAGCACGACTTCCTTTTGCCGAGATCAACGGGCAGTTTGATCCGAACCCTAATCCCTAAACCCCAAACCCTGAACCCTAAACCCTGAACCCTAAACCCATCCACATCTTGGAGGGAAGGCAGCTGGGAGACCACCGAGAGCATGAGAACCACAACAAGGGAAAGCTTTAGTGTATAGAGGCCTTTCGGGGCCGTTCTGCCAAACGAGTGGCTTTTGTTGGGTTTGGGGGCTCCCGGGGGCGCCAGCAACACAGCTCTTTGACAGCCCTCCACACCACGTGCCTTGCGTGAGCGCGGTCATCCAACTTGTACTTGCTCCTGGAGGGCCAGTGGCTACGGTAAGCTAGGGTTTAGGGTTTAGGGCTTCGGGTTTGGGATCTGGGGTGTGGGGTTTAGGGTTTAGGCCGAGATGACGTAGGCATGGACAGGGGAACCCTGTTTTGCTCTCTGGGTTTCCCAAAACGAATGGGCGGGAGAAACGGAACCCCGTGTGCGCAATTGCGCTGACTGTGCAAGCTGCGGCGGGCAAGGAACTACATGACCTAAGTTGGATAGTACGGATAACTGAACTTTCACCTACACAGCAACCTGAGTTATAGTGCCCTTACATACAACGACTGCCACCGTGTCCAAGAAGTTCCGTCCAAACATCATGGCGAGCCCGACACTTCCCGGGACCAAATTCGGCTAAACACCTAAACCCCAAATCCTAAACCCTAGCTGAGAATTGGTGGGGGGGGGGGGGGGGGTTGGAGCAAGAATTAGAAGCCGAGCCGGTCGAAGTTCAATTCCAAGTGCTATCAAGCACTCGAGAAGCCTGAGGAGCACAAGTTTAGAGGGTTTAGAGGGCCTGTATATGGAGGATCTGGAGGGTTTGGAGGGCTTAGAAGATTTCTAAGGGTTCAGAGGGTTTAAAGGCTTGAGAGGGTTTAGAGGGTTTCGAGGGCTTGAGGTTCAGGGGCCCGTCCTGAAGGTAAGCATGCATTGGTCCAGCTTGCCAGCGCCCGTGAAGCAACCCCGCTCTAGCTCGCCGATCTTAACCTGAGAGGGGGGGTGGGGAGGGGGGGGGGTGGGGGGGGAGGGGGGAGTGGACGGGGGAGGGTCATCGGCCCAGAATCTCGGTTGGCTACCTTTACATGGGAACAATTCTTCCTTACGAGGGCAATACAGGGATTATGTGCCTTGGTTTTCTGGTTGGCTCTTCAGCAAATAGTAGCACTGGAACCAGGGCACCATGAGTGATCCCGACGGTTTCTTCGCCGTCTCGCACACCTGAGCAGGGATCTAGGTGCTTAAGCCCTTTCTCTACTACTTTCTTAAGACACCTAAAAAGACACAAAGACTCTTCCTCACAAGGGCAATATGGGGGTTATTATCTTTTAGTTTTGGGCGGTTCTGAGGCAAATAGTAGTAAATCTAGGGGGCCACATATCACATGGGCCCAGCAAAAGAAGGGGAAACCCTAAACCCTAATTACACCTAAACCAGAATCCAGAATCCAGAGAGCTCACCATGAGGCGTTGGGGTTCTTCCTAACCCTAAACCCTAAACCCTAAACCCTAAACCCTAAACCCTAAACCCTAAACCCTAAACCCCAAACCTAAACCCCAAACCCTAAACCCTAAACCCTAAACCCTAAACCCCAAACCTCGATGTCGTAGTTCCTTAGAGAACTCCGAGAGCCTCATAAAGCGCTTTCAGTCCTCCTCGAAGCTCGCCTCTCCTTGGGGGGGCACGGCAAGAAAGGGCGGCTTGGGGGGTTGGGGGGGGGGGGGGGGGGGGGCGTTTGGGGGTTTAGGGTTTGGGGTTTTGGGGTTTTGGGGTTTTTGGGTTTTGGGGTTTTGGGGTTTTGGGGTTTTGGGGTTTTGGGGTTTTGGAGCTTTGGGGCTTTGGGGCTTTGGGGCTTTAGGGTTAGGGGCTTGGGGGCTTGGGGGCTTGGGGGGTTCAGGGGGTTCAGGGAGTTTCGGGGGTTTAGGGAGTTTAGGGGGTTTAGATGGGTTTAGACAGGGATGGAGAGGGAGGGAGGGATTGAAGATCGCGGCCTCTGAGGTTTTTGCAAGGGCCTTGGGCACGCAGGTTTTCGGAGTTGCTGGGCTTTCTTGGGAACGCTTCTCACAACTCGATGCTGGAGGCCTAAACCCTAAACCCTAAACCCTAAACCCTAAACCCTAAACCCTGTGATAAACCCTAAACCCTAAACCCTAAACCCCAAAGGCCCCAAAAGCGCTAGAGAAGCCGAGCTTCGAGTTCGCATGACGTCATCAAGCCGTCTTACGATCCTTGGCAGCTCTTCGAACGCACAGGCTTTCAGGGCTTTTGGGGTTCAATCAGGGTTTAGAGGGTTTAGGGCTTCTTGTTCGTGTGTTAGAGGGTTTAAGTAACTAGATAGGGTTTTAGGGTTTCGGGCTTTAGGGCTTTTTGGGTTTAGGGTTTTGGGGGAAGTATGACAAGCAGAAGCCCACAAGGTGCCGGCAATGCGCTTCTTGAAGTGGTCGAAGGCTCCAGGCGATCTCCGATCCAACGCAAAAGTTCCCACCTAAACCCTGTAAACCCTATAAACCCTAAACCTTAATCCCTAAACCCTGTAAGCCCTAAACTTAGACCCCGGCCAAAAAAGGTCTCAGCATCTCTGAATCGTTGTGGGCTCTGTTGCGATCGTTTGGGAGTCGATCAAGTGCGGCCTCTTGTGGGGCATCCCGATTTATGTACGAGCCTGCAGGGTTTAGAGTTTAGGGTTTAGGGTTTAGGGTTTAGGGTTTAGGGTTTAGGGTTTAGGGTTTCTGGTTCAGGGTTTAGGTTTAGGGTTTAGGGTTTCTGCCAAAACCTCTCCCCCCCACCCCCGAAACCCTAAAGCTTCACAGCAATAGTTCCCAAGGCAGGCCGCTTGTCCTCGATGTTGAACTTCTTGCAAAGGGCCTCCACCTGCCCGCGCACTTCTTGGGTGCTCTCAATTCCTACGGGTTTACCCTAAAGCCCTGAAGCCTAAACCCTAAACCCTGTGGGGGGTTCAGGGGGCTTAGGAGCCTTCGCTCAAGCTCAAATCTTCGCGCGAGGCACAAGGGGCTGATAGGGCTTGCTCTAGGGTTTAGGGGGTTGGGGGTTTAGGGTTTGGGATTTGGGATTTGGGTTTTTTTGGGGGGTTTGGGGTGACCAACGTGGCCAGAAGAGTGAAGTCGTACGAAAAGCACTGGCCGGGGGGCCTCTGGATGGATGGTCGGCAAGCAGTGCTCCGCGTTCGGCGCCCGCTTCCCCTTACCTTTACCTGGCGATCCACAGCGGGACTTGAAGCGCTACTTGGAGGTTCATGAGCACTTATAAGTAGGTACCCTAAATACGGTTGTACCATAATAGTTACCATACTTATAACCCTGCCTATAAGTGTTCGGGCATCAGGGTCTAGTCTGCAGGGCTGCAGAAACCTGATTCGCCTTCAGCGCCCAGCAGCAAGGAGGGTTCACGTGGCATTGGGAGCTTTAGGCTGACGACACTCTGAACTGACAAAACCCTACAGCAAACCCCAAACCCCAAAGCCCAAAGCCCAAAGCCCAAAGCCCAAAGCCCAAACCCCAAACCCTAAACTCCCTAAACTTAAACCCTGTGCCACCCACAGCCCGCCCCAAAGCTCAAACGGCTGCCTTTCCGTATGGTCTCTCCCACCGGGCCCTCATCCTGTCACCGCACCAGGAACGTTTCGGCTCTGGGGGGGGGGATTCCGCGGTTTCAGCAGCTTTCCCTTGGCAAGCCCTTGAAGCCCAAGCCCTAAACCCTAAACCCTACACCCTTAACGTAGCCCTAAACCCTAAACCCCAGGCCTTAAACCCTAAGGCAGAGTTTTCCTGTTCCGGGATAGGTCGTCTCTTCCGGAATCTTCCCCACGTTTGGACATATAACAGGCACCCTCGAGCTTTACTTTCGAAGTGGGGGTTAACGGAAGCGTTTATGTAGGGATCAGAGCCCGTAGAACTCAATAAATCAACCCCCTCACTTTTGGGCCCAAGGATTCTCCGCAAACCGTACATCATACCTGGAGCTTAGGACTTTCCGGGCAGAGGGTCTATATAAGGCCCCCTGGTACCAATGTCTTAGCTCTTGAGCCTCCAATTTTGGAGTTGCGTAAGCGTGGAAGCCTAGATCGGTTCCTAAACCATCCGAAGCTCTGGCCTAGTTGCCCAGCAACCTGGGGGAACTAAAGGTTAACCTTTGGGATTATAAGGGGAATATACTACCCCAAAGGGTTAACGGTTACCTACTCTACTACTAGGTCTGCGCCCTAAGCCCCGAAGGTCCTTCGTGGGCTCCGGCTCGTCATCGTCGTCGTTGGTGGACGTCGATCCCATGGAAGCCATCTGGGCCATCATGGCCATCATGGGATTCATGCCTTGGATGCTTCGGAGGATTCACTATACTCCCCTTAGAACCTTAATGAAACTAATATATTCCTAATAACCTCTTGGGTTTTATATAAACAAAAAATAATTCCCAAGGAGGATATAGTTCCGCTGCTTAGACTTTTGGGCTGAGGGATGCTGAGGCTTCAGCTTTGGTTCTGCAGAGTCCCTGGGCCCTAGGCCATTAGGGAGGCTTCTGTACAGCTGCCGAACTCAAAGTAGAGCTGCTCTTTGGTTGTGGCGCTGACCCGGAGGCAGTCATGCTGTTCTTTTCAGGTGGGCTCTTTCTCCATAATGAACCCTGACAAGGGCCGCTTTAAGGGATTATAGGGTATAATAGCCCGTCCTGGTAAGATGCTCTGAACCCTAAACCCTAAACCCTAAACCCTAAACCCTAAACCCTAAACCCTAAACCCTAAACCCTAATCCGCGGCGTGAATTTCGTGAGTTTCCACTTGACAGGCGAGGTGCCCATCATCGGGGGCATGCCCGGCATCATTCCTGAGGGGATCTTCGGCATGCTTTGGGTTCAGGGTTTAGGGTTTAGGGTTTAGGGTTTAGGGTTTAGGGTTTAGGGTTTAGGGTTTAGGGTTTCGGGTTTCGGGTTTAGGGTTTACGGTTTAAAAGCCCGGAGAGGCTGCAACCCTACATAACCTGAACCTGAAACCCAAGACTCTTAACCACTGCAAGCTGCTACAATGTTGCCTGCTCCCTAGAAGCCCCAAAACCAGAAGCTCCAAACCGTGATTACTGCCCAAAAGGAGCCAAAAGCTTCTCTACTCGGCCACCAAAATCCCTGAAGTCTCCAGCGCTGTGCGTTTTGAGGGTGGCATGCATAAATTATAACTAATCTTCAGGGTAGGCTACCTGGACCCATCGTTGCAATGCCTCTGCTGTGTTTGCTTTTTGTTGGGGAGAACGGCGGGGGGGGGGGGGGGTACGTGGCACCGATTCTGTTGGCTCTACACTCGGCTCGCTAGCCCCCAAAAAACCCATACATAAACCTACGGACCCGAACAAAAACTGCTACCATTTGCTTCAGGCTCACCAAAAGGCAAAGAACAACAATCCCTATATTGCCCATATCAGAAAGATATGATTATGTTTTGTGTGGTTCTGAAGCACATGCTATTTCACAGCTACCTCCTAAACCCTAAACCCTAAACCTTAAACCCTAAGCCCTAAGCCCTAAACCCTAAACCCTAAACCCTGAATCTGGCCGAGGGCGCCTGGCATCATCCCGGGCATCATCCCTGGCATCCCCGAGGGCATGCCTGGGGCGCAAAGAAGATGTAAGGCTTGAATTGGGTAGTTAGGGTTTAGGGTTTAGGGTTTAGGGTTTAGGGTTTAGGGTTTGAGAAGTTTCGGGTTTAGTGTCCGGGTTCAAGGTTTGAGGAGGTTAGGGTTCTGATTCTGCTGGTGTTTGGTACTTGGGCTTCGGAAGTTTGGGGGCTTTCAGGGAGTAGTGCGACAGGGGTTGGGCTTCAGTCAGGGCTTTGGAAGGGGAGGTGAGGATTTCGGTGCTTGGGGTCTCTGGACTATCCTCCCGAAACCCGAAACCCCAAACCCCAAACCCTAAACCCTAAACCCTACATAGAGCCCAAGCTGCAGCCCATCATCGGCATGCAGCCCCCGGCTGGCGGCATCGTTGGGAGCGCCCCTGGCGCGGCGCCGGGCGCGGGCGCCGGCGCCGCGGCGCCCGGGGCGCCGGGGGCACCCGGGGCACCGTTGGCGCCGGGGGGCACGAAGAACATGGCCACTCAGATCTGTCGGAAGCAATGCTCTACAGCAACTCCTATAGCACCTTTTCAGGCTCTGGACTGATGTTGGGTATATGCCCTGGTGCTTGGCGAGGGCTGGCATGGCTCTGATGCGCTGTCTTCCGGGGGCCTATTGTGACCCAGGATGCTCTCTCGGGATCTGCTGTATATGTCTAGAACAAAAATTCTGCTTGCGTCTACAAAGAAGGCTGCGTTTATTGCGTCCTGGATCTGCAGGGAGCTCTGCAGATCGGCGCCTGTAGCTGTGCGGACTATCCCGTTGAATTCATGCCTTGTCATGACCTTGATGACCGAATTTTGACCAAGGCGGCGAGCTGACAAGGCCTGGATGCAACGACCCCTCGCTCTGCACCAGCAGCGCACGCCAGAAGCTCGGGATTCAACTTTCGAGCTTGGGGATTCCATGGCTCACGATCCTATGTAACCCCAAACTCCATGTCGCTTTGTGGGGGTTCCTCTGGCTTCGGGGGCACCCAAAACCCGAAGTAGCTGAAACGCGATTGTAGAACCCGATGTAATCCCCAATCCAGCCCCCTCCAAACGGGAACGTGCGCAGCATTGGTGGCTAGAACTACATGCCCTTGCCATCGCAGCCGACCACTAACAGCACACAGCAACCCTAAACCCCCTAAACCCTAAACCCTACTTAAACCCGAGCAGGAACCCTCAGGCCTATCAACCGGCAGTGGGTGAAAAGGAGCTATAAGGCCCGCGGAAGTCAAAAATCTATCCCAGGTCAACCCCTGCAAGCCCTGAGACCCTAAAACCCAAAACCCGAAAACACACAACCCTAAACTTGAAAACCCTGCGCCCTAAACCCGAAACCCTAAATCCTACACCCTAAACCCTAAACCCCAACAGGGAGCAGCGACCCTTAGCCGGCAGCCCGGTGCAGGGGTGGGGGCCTCTTGCTGTCGAGGACCCGTGCCTCGGAAGTCGGATTGGTTTGTAGGGTTTAGGGTTGTAGGGTTTAGGGTTTAGGGTTTAGGGTTTAGGGTTTAGGGTTTAGGGTTTAGGGTTTAGGGTTTAGGGGGGTTTAGGGTTTAGGGTTTAGGGTCGGTTTTGGACTGTTGTGACCAGGTTGCGGGCTTGTTGGGTCTGACAATGCTTGGGAAGTTCATGTGTGCCAAGCCCGATGGTCGCCAGGGGCTCGACTCTACTCTGTCTACCCTCGACGCTGCTCCTCTCCCACTGCGCAGCTGGCGATGCTACTAGTAGCCACAACCCTAAAACCCTAAACCCTAAACCCTCAACCCTAAAACCCTAAACCCTAAACCCTAAACCCAAGATGAAAGACGGGGGCACCCAGGAGGAAACCTTGCAGCCTTCCATGCGCAGGCCGGAAAGCCTTTTGCTTGCACGTGCCGCGTTTTTCCATAACTGGTGGTAAGATGTACCATTGAAAGAATTGTGCAGCTGAGTCTTCTCCTGTCTTTCTTTCTATGGAAACCTATATCTGAGGGCATCTTAGTTGCTGAGTTCATAAGCCCAGTATCCCAAAAAGCATAAAGTGTACTCACTCAGCTACTAAGGCATGTAGGGTTTTACCAAACGTTGAGGGGTTGGCATGTCGGGCTGAGTGTGAAAGCGTCCAACTGGGCTCACTGGGAGACCGACATGGCAGACACGGTAGCGAAGCTGCAGAGGTGTGTCATTGACCTGTTACGCTGACAGCAACCCAAACCCCCTAAGCCCGTAAACCCCTGAACCGTATACACCTCTAAACCCAAAATCCTAAAGCCATGTAACCCGTAAAACCTAAACCTATAAACCCTAACCCCCTAAATCCCGAAATCACTAAACCCCAGGGCTCCCTCTCGACAGATATACATATATATATATATATATATATAAAGATGCATACATATGTATACATATATGAATATGTGTGTACACATCTATCTATTTCTGCGTATGTACATATGCAATATGTGTATATGTATACACACACACGGTTCCCAGTACATCTGTATACACATATCAAGCACATACTCCATTTTCTTCTATTCCATTCTATGCTAACTGACTGTTCTGTTCTGTACGGGGGCTCGGTTCTCGAAACTCTCGCCCTGACGGGTTGGAATGAAGGCTTGTGGCTCCTGAACCCTAAACCCTAAACCCTAAACCCTAAACCCTAAACCCTAAACCCTTAGGGCTCAGGGCTCAAAAGCCTCTAGGCTTCGGTTCTGGGTTTAGGGTTTCGGGTTGTGGGGTGTTTCCGCAAGCCTCCCTCCTAAACCCGAAAACCCTACCCTGTTGACCAGATAAACCCTAGAATTGGGGGTCATATATCCTATACTACTTTCATCCCTAATAGGGTGTCTGAGGTTTATTTGATCCTCCAGGTGGTTGCAGAGTGGACCCCAAACCCTAAACCCTAAACCCTAAACCCTAAACCCTAAACCCTTTCAGGTGCGCCTCGTGCATGACCATGGCTGCCCTCGAGCAGAATGTGTCTGCGGAGATGGGGTCGTCGTCCTGTCGCAAGGTCTCAACAAGTAGGGTTTAGGGTTTAGGGTTTAGGGTTTAGGGTTTAGGGTTTAGGGTTTAGGGTTTAGGGTTTAGGGTTTAGGGTTTAGGGTTAGCCTATAAGATCTCCCTACATCTCGGCTTGATAGCTGCATGTGTGCGCGTTCATGCGTGCGTAACGGCAGACTCGTCTGCAGTCTTGGCATGAACTCGGCGGTGTATGCCCGTCAGGAGGACCGTAATCATACAGTTTGCCACTTCGCGGCGGGCGAAGGAAGTCGTTGTTGCTCCCTGAAGCATTCCCACAGCCCACCGACGCTTTGACGTCTAAGGTCCGCGCTCAAGAAGATTCAACAACGTCGAAGTAAGAGGCCCTAAGAGGCCCAAATAGCACTTGAAGAAGACAAAGACTATTTGATAAATCCTTCTCGAAGCTGCAGACACGTAGAAGAACAGCTATGAAGCCTCAGAAACCCTGAGCCGAGGATCTGGATTCTCCAAATTTGAGAGCCAAGGCTTCTTTCAAACCAAGAGAATACTAGCCTTTGGCTCAATCATGTTCGTCTTTGGCCTGCCGGCCAAATTGAAACTACCCAGAACAGAGAACGGAGGCAGTCATCGGGGAAACGAAGTGAATAAATGAAATGAGGGAACAAAGTGTGCGGAGTGAGCCCTAGATCACATGAACATGCCCGCAGCTTTTTACTGGAAAGCTCCTCAATCATAAGCTGTGTCCCGGGTGCTCGCTCACGCAAAAAGGTCATGTACATTGTGTGTGTGTTTTCCTACTTTCGATCTCTATGTTCTAGCAATAGGGGTGCGATGTAGAATCTTGTATAAGGCCTTTTCTGCGTTTCTTATGAACTGGGCTGTTGATGTGCTCGTGCTTTTAGTTCGCCAATTCTCACGCGGCATAGTTTGTTTTTTCCTTTCTCGCCGCGTACATGCTTTTCTTAACGTGTACACGCAGCCTTTATGGTAAACGCAGCGCTTCACGGCATTTGATCAGGAATACCGAGGCACGCAGGGACGATGCAATACTGGGGGTTGGGCATACATGGTGATGTTTTTGCAGATGCTTGGCGACAAAACCTCCGTAACCCCACTACGAGCGAGAAAACGAATAAGCATACGGTATGAGGCTGCTTTGCAGAGCATGTATCCGATGAGTTTTGTTGTGTGTTGTGGCTGTTGAGGGGGGCATGGCCAGCGAATGTCGCTTTTGGATGTTAATCAAACAAGCCGCAGCTTTATGATTGACCCATCCGCCAAACCAACTACATATCCGAACTGACTTCTGCAGTTTAAACTGAAACTGCACATGACATAAAGATAAACTCACACGACATACGCAATCAACAATTGCCAAGAGTTGCCAGACTTTGCCATCTCCAATTCAACCTAACACATGAACACGATTGCCAAGAATCCTTGCGTGGGGTGGTTTCCGAACCAAGAACAACAAAACAACTCAGAACTCCTCCCAAAAGCTTCGAAACCCCAAACCCCAAACCCTAAACCCTAATCCCTAAACCCTAAACCCTAAACAACAACTCAAAAGAAATCCTCACCTGACACCACTGGAGTGAGCTTAAGCTCCACGTGGGGAGGAACTGCGCCGACCTCCAGGTAGAGCTCCGCAACCTTCACGTACTTCTCGGCCTGGAGGGTTTAGGGTTTAGGGTTTAGGATTTAGGGTTTAGGGTTGAGGGTTTAGTGTTTAGGGTTTAGGTTTAGGGTTTAAGGGGGAATTGCCTGGGATGGCTTCTTACTTGCGGCTTCCTTGTGCGCACCCACCAGTGACGTAGTTTCCTCGGTTGCTGGTCAACTCACCTCACTTCAGTGGCGCGCTGACGGCAGGCCTGTGAATTCGTTCTGGCTGGCAAGGCTCACAAAACTTCGGAAGCTGACGTCACTATCCCTAAGCCCTAAACCCGAAACCCTAAACCGCAGCAAGTGACTTTACGGGGTTGTTTGCCTTCACGGGCCCAAGTGGTCACAGGAGTCCCTTTAGGTTTCAGGTTCTCTATCCCCTGCCGCTCCTATCTGGGAGGTTTAGGGTAGGAATTTCATGCCCGGGATTGGGGGGCGGGCCAAGTTTCACCATGTCAGGTGCGCTGAAAAGTCCGAAGCTTGAGGGCTCGAGGGAAGGCCCCGACGTCTCGAGCACAAAGCAGCGTAAACCGGAAACCCTAAACCTTGTAAGGCACAAGGTCCTTGTGACTTAGGCATTAAGTTTCCAGGAGTGTTTTAGTGGTCCACCCAAAACCCTAAACCCCAAACCCCAAACCCTAAACCCTAAACCTTACACCCGAGGCCCTAAAGCTCAGAGTGGTCCGCCTTTTGCATCGGGGTGCGGCAGCGGGTTCCTGGACATCGAAGGAACATCGCAGGGCTTCAGCTAATAGCCCCCGGGGTTCAAGACTTAGGGTTTAGGGTTTAGGGTTTAGGGTTGAAGGTTTTTGTTGGGTGGAAGGTCTGGGGTCTCTAGGGTTTCGGGTCTAGGGCTAAGGGTTTGAAAGCCCTCGGGTTTGGGGGCTCAGGGGAAATTTCTTTGCGCGGAGGGGGGGGGGGGGGGGGGGGTGAGGAGCTACTTTCATGTTCGCAAGGGGAGATAGCAAGAGCCATTCCTCAATCCTCATCCCTAAACCAGACCTCCAACAACACCTCCCCCAAAGCCCAAAACCCCCAAACCCCAAAACCCAAGCCAAACCCCAAACCCAACGCACCAAAACCCCAAAACCCCAAAACCCCAAAACCCAAAACCCAAAACCCCGAAACCTCAAACCCCGAAAACCCCAGACCCCCAAACCCTAAGCCCAAACCCTAAACCCTAAACCCTAAACCCCTCTGGGCCCGGCCTGACTCTAAGTTGATGGCCGCCAAGCACTTGGCAGCCTCCGCCCAGTCCTTTGCAGAATCACAACCCGGCCTGAAGCTTCCCAAGTGATATGGGTAGTTTTCTTAAATTAGGGGTTTAGGGTTTAGGGTTCCAGGGTTTGGGGTTTAGGGTTTAGGGTTTGGGGTTTAGGGTTTAGGGTTTTGGGTCTAGGGGCACCCTTTAAAGGTAAGGAGCCGACCTCTTCGTATGTTCTCAAAAAGTATGATAGCAACCCCAAATCCTGCACCCTAAACCCTAAACCCTGAACCTTGAAGCCTAAACCCTAAACCCGAGACCCCAAACCACCTCATAGTATGCGGTGGAGCCACAGGAGCCAAACATGCCTTATAGGGCCTCTTTCCGAGCTTCGAGGTGTCGGTTTGAGTTTAGGGTTTAGGTTTAGGGTTTAGGGTTTAGGGTTTAGGGTTTAGGGTTTAGGGTTTAGGGTTTAGGGTTTAGGGTTTAGGGTTTAGGGTTTAGGGTTTAGGGTTTAGGGTTTAGGGTTTAGGGTTTAGGGTTTAGGGGTTAGGGTTTGGGGTTTGGGGTTTGGGGTTTAGGGTTTAGGGTTGATGGTTGAAGGTTTAGGGTTGAGGGTTTAGGGTTGAGGGCTGCGGGTTTGGGGTTGAGGGGTGGCCTCTCGAGTGCCGGAACGGATGCACCTATATGGTCGGTTTAGGGCTTCAGGGTTGAGGGCTATAGGGCTTATAGGGTTTAAAGGGTTTAGAGGGTTTAGAGGGTTTAGAGGGTTTAAAGGGTAAAGGGCTCGTAGGGCTTCGGGGGTTTATAGGGTTTAGGCCAGATGCTCTGCCTAAAAGCCCTTTCGGATGCGTCTTCTTTTGGTATAACCAGCGCTTGACGCCCGAGAGTTCAAACCCGAAGACTCTTTTGTGTGACTTGGGGGAGTGAGAAACCCTCAACCCGCCCCCCCCCCCCCCCCCCAACAAAAAAAACAAAAGACAAAAACTAACTGTGGCATAACGAACCTTCCGTTTTCCAGTGAACATATAAGGAAATCACTATGAAGAACAGCGAAATACAATATGGGCCTGAATAAGTAGACTGGGGTTTGGGGTGTTATTCTAGCATATCTCTCTAGGGACCATAGGAGGAAGCTAGTCGTCATCCTCAGACCTAAACCCAAAACCCAAAACCCTAAACCCCTAGATGGGCTACAGGTACACCCCCGAGGTGCCGGCGCACTCCGCCTGAAAGACCTCGGACAGCAACTCGCGGATCACGAAGTCCTGCAAAGCAGGGGTTTAGGGTTTAGGGTTTGGGGTTTGGGGTTTGGGGTTTGGGGTTAAGGGCTTCGAAAAGGGGGGATGAAAGCCCCCAGGCCTGACTGGGCGCGGGGTTTGGGGTTTTGGAACCCGCGGTGTTCCTAAGCCCTGATCCCGAAGCCCCTAAACCCTAAACCCCAAGCCCTAGACCCTACACCCTAAACCCTACACCCTAAACACTAAACGGCCCTAAACCCTAAACCCACCCAAAGCCCCTAAAGCCTGAACTCCTCAAGCCTAAGCCCAAGCCCTACACCCCGAACCCCCTAAACCCCCTAAACCCTGGAAGCCCACTTTTTTTGCATTGGCTACTTGAAAAGGAGCCACAAAAAAAGAAAGGTAAAGGCTACCACTGGGCTACCAAGACTAGGGTGCCCAGTAACCCAGGCTCAAAAAGGGTGCCCTGTTTTGCTTAAAGTGGTTCTTTATCAGGGGCCCTAAACCCCAAACCCTAAACCCTAAACCCTAAACCTAAACCCTAAACCCTAAACCCTAAACCCTAAACCCTAAAAGGGAATAAGGACATCTGGTCTTCCCCCTCTGGTCTCCGGCTGTGAAAGGACCTTGCTCATTTTAGCTTCTATTGCACGTTGAGCGCGCGTTCCTGCATGTGGATACCACTGGGCCACCAAGAAACCCCAAGATCGTTTCAGAGTTTGCCCACACCTTGGGATGAAGAACCTGTGAGCGGACACCTTGGGGACCTTGCGGATTAGAGTTTGGGGTTTAGGGCTTCGGGTTTGGGGTTTAGGGTTTAGGGTTTAGGGTTTGGGGTTTCGGGATTGGGTTTTGGGGTTTGGGGTTTCGGGTTAGGGGTTGCGCATTCAAGGTGTATAAAGGGTTTGGGGATTCGGGTTTAGGTCTAGGGTCTCGGGGAGAGGGTTTCGGATTTGGGGTTAAGGCTATTTGGGTTTGGGATTGAGCCTAGATCTCACAAACCCTAAACCCTGAATTGCTCATAAAAGCTTCAACCAGGCACGAGACCCTAAACCCCAATGCAACAATGAAATAGCTCTAACCCCCCTCCCCCCCTCTAAACCTAATCGTCATTCCGGAGCTCCTCTTCCTCGAAGGAAACCACCCGCCCCCTCAGGCGATCGAGGGTGTGTAACGCCAGCTCCTGGAAAGGTTCCGTTAGCTGGGGCTCATGCAGCCCTAAAGCCTAAACCCTAAACGTTGGGATACTGCAACTAAACTCTGAACCCTAAACCCCAAAAAAAACCCTAAGCCCTAAAAACCCCAAGCATTTGGGGCTACACATTGCCGTAGCCACCACTCCACATATGATTCCGACACAGGTCGGCACGCGATCACATCAGCCCCCTTTTTAACGAAGCTCAAAGCTGACTTAGCCTTATATCCCCCTAAGCCCCAGAAACCCTAAACCCTAAAAACCAAGACCCTAGACCTTAGACCCTAAACCCCAGACCTTAAACCCTAAAGCCTAAAGCCTGCCTGCCCAGCCTACATTTTGGTTTTTGAACTGACTGCGTGCATCTGACGTGCCATTACTGTACCTGAGCCTCGTAGAGCCATGACTCTTTTGCTGGGAAAAGGTTTACAGGGTTTTGGGGCGGAGGGGGAGGGGGAGGGGGAGGGGAAGGGGGAGGGGGAGGGAGAGGTGGGAGGGGGAGGGGGAGGAGGGGGCGGGGGAGGGGGGGGGGGAGGGGAGGGGGAGGGGAGGGGGAGGGGGAGGGGGAGGGGAGGGGGGAGGTGGAGGGGGAGGGGGAGGGGGAGGGGGAGGGGAGGGGGAGGGGGAGGGGGAGGGGGGGGGGAGGGGGAGGGGGAGGCCGAAATCCCAAACCCACAATGCCCTGTAAAAGGGGTGGATACTAAACCCTGAACCCTAAACCCTAAACCCTGAACCGTTTAACCCTAAACCCTAAACTTTAAACCCTAAACCCTAAACCCTAATGCGACTTCTAAGGGGCGAGGCCTTGAGCTCGGTGTTTTTCAACTTCTCCATCTGCTCGGCCACCTTGAGGCGTGGGTTTGTGATTCAGGGGGCTAGGGTTTAGGGGTTTAGGGTTTAGGGTTTCAGGGTTTTAGGGTTTTAGGGTTTTAGGGTTTTAGGGTTTAGGGTTTAGGGCTTAGGGTTAGGGTTTAGCGGCAGAGCGGGAAAGGGTTTAGGGTACAGGGCTTCAGGCAGTTTCAGTGGTACCCAAACCCAGTGGAGCAGTCACGCCTGCTGCAGAACGGGGCGAGCGAAGAGCGCAAAGCTTGATTCCTTTCATCAGGCAAGCTCTGTGTGAACCTAAACCCTAAACCCTGAACCCTAAACCCTAAACCCTAAACCCTAAACCCTAAACCCTAAACCCTAAACCCTAAACCCTAGCCCGAACCCTCAAACCCTGAGCCCTGTTTAAACCCGAATCGTTGGCGAAGCAGATCCCTAAGTTGACCCTGCGCTCCTCGGCGAGCATGCCATCCACCAGGTCCTATAACTTTCAGAGCGCGGTGCAGGGCTTAGGGTTTAGGGCTTAGGGTTTAGGGTTTAGGGGCATGGTCCCTTAACATGGGCTCTTGAATGGGGACCCCTCATATGCCCTGGCTTAGGGCGTATCGTTTTTGGGAATCAGGGTTCAGGGTACCAAAAGGGTTCCCTCCGGGTCTGAGGGTATAGGTTGTGGAGGGGCATTGTGGCCTTCGAGGGAACTTTGCGAGGTGTGGGGGGGGGGGGGGGGGGGGACTCAAAATGCTTGCAGGCAACACTGCTAGGAAGAACATGTCATGTTGACCGTCATGTCAGGTGTCAGATCAACATTGGCAGCGCGATTGGTGTCAGGACACCTGTTGATAAAGTGCACACGGAAACTCAATCTCACGATTGGAGATGCAACCATGTTGACCCTATAAGCTCTAAACCCCAAACCCTAAACCACGCTACGTGCTAGGAGCGGTCGGAGCCGTGAGCTCGCAAGGCTACGTCAAAATCATACTTCCGCAGGCGCGTGCAATGGCTTCAAATATGACGTTCTAGAGCTGGTCTTCATGCTACTCCATTCTGGCCGTGCTACTTGTTCCATCGCGGCCACCCGCAAAGAAAGGGGGCCGCTGTTTAAAGTTTGGGGGGGGGGGGGGGGGGGGGGGGCGCGATAACATGAAAAGAGGATCTCGCGGCAGCACTCGACTAGTAGCAGGGACAACGAGCCTCAGCCCTAAGCCCTAAGCCCTAGGCCCTAAGCCCTAAGCCCTGAGCCCTGAGCCCTGAGCCCTAAAGGCCCTAAGCCCTAAGCCCCAAACCCTTAACCCTAAAACGACCCACTTCGCCCCGTATGGACCTCGACCTTTGCAAATCAGAAATCGCCGCCTTCAGCTGCTGCACGTCGTGCTGCTCGACGAGGCTCTTCACCTGGTTAAGCTCGCAGACACCACCCATCGCGCAGCGAAGAAAGGCGCCGAATCATAGCAAGCCTAGGGTTTAGGGCCTAGGGGTGAGGGTTTAGGGTTTAGCGTTTAGGGTTTAGGGTTTAGGGCAGCGATAAGAACCAGCCTCTGTAAGAAAACCCACAGAGCCGCGAGCCTAAATCTCAAAAACCACTGACAGAAGTCCTGAATCCTTGAAGCCCCGGAGTCCCTAGAAGTCTGGCTCCACATTCTTTGCTGCCTTTTAGGGTTTAGGGTTTAGGGTTTAGGGTTAGGGTTTAGGGTTTAGGGTTCAACGAAAAATGATCAAACCTCCCCACCTCCGCCGCCCAAAAAAGCCCCAAATCCTCTAGTCTTCACCAGAATACCTGGTCAGGCAGGCCCTTGAAACCCTGTGAGACATGTTCCCCAAAGAAGGCTCTCCAAACCCAAAAGAGAAAAATATCCAAAGGGCCGACCGTGTTGGGTGAATACCTGAACACTCCGTCTTAGATTAGGCCCCCCATACCGAAGAACGAAGATATGATGACAGGAGAGCCTTTCTGTGTATGTGCCCATTAATTAATCCTCTAAACCCTAAACCCTAAACCCTAAACCCTGAACCCTGAACCCTAAACCCTAAACCCTAAACCCTAAAACCCTAAACCCCTTGAACCCTAAACCCGAAATAGCCCCCTAGGAGTTGCGATCCTGATTTCCGGGGTGCCCGGCAAGCTCTGTGAACTTCTCCATTCGGCCGGTCGCGTCGGGTGTGGCCCCCACCTGCCACTGCCGCAGGCTTACGGGGGGGCGGGTTTAGGGTTTAGGGTCTAGGGTCTAGGGTCTAGGGTGTAGGGTTTAGGGTTTAGGGTTTATAGGGTTCAGGGTGGAGAAGGTATTTATGGTTCTTTGGGGTTTTCGGGGGTCGGGAGGGTCTTCGGGTCTGAAGTTTAGGAAGTGTAGCGTCTTTGGGAACCTTTGACGTCACCATGAAGACAAATAAGACCACGATAAACCCTGTGTCACCCCCCCCCCCCCCCGCAAGGTTTCGGGTTTAGGGTCTTTCGTTTCCGAGGCCCGATAGCATACAGGGCCCAGCACAGCTCATTAACCTATACATTATAGTCTGCACCCCCCCCCCCCATCTGCCCCAGGATAGACTGCAGACGCTCGACCCCAAGCAGCTCAAGCATGCCGGCGAAGCGATGCCGGACATGACCTGGAAGATTCCATTGCCTCGTGCTCTGGAGGGGGGGGCAACTGGTCAGTCATTTACTACAACCGGCTGCACGCTTCTGAAGGTTTTACGGCCTCCTTGAAGGGGCCTTCAACACTACACAGGAAAACTCCTAAGCCCAAAACCCTAAACCTGAACCCTACAACCCCCTGAACCCCAAACCCCTCAACCCCTCAAACCTGAACCCCAAGCTCTAAAGCCCGCAGAATGTAAAGTTATGCAGCAGGGAGATTCATCACTCGTACCCCCCAACTAGGAAGGCTAAGGAAGCATAACACACTCACCAATAACAGCAGTTTAACCCCTAACCCCTAAACCCTAATTAAACCCTAAACCCTGAACCCTGAACCCTGACCCCGAAACCCATAGAAATCCGACTTTACACGGCCTTTCACAAGCTGGCAGGCTTCCTTCGGGGCCCCTATATACGCACCTGACACAAACTAGCCGCTAGAAGTCTAGAAGTGGGTTCCGAGTTTACCGCAGTTTTTTTCTTTTAATTTATTGCTTAGTTACTTCTTCATTTGTTCCCCAGCTCTGGGGTTGTTAGATTTCCCTAGAGTGCCCAACCCCAGAGATTCCATGGAGTGCCCAACCCCAGAGACCCTGGAGTGCCCAAAGGGGGGGAAGACGGCCAAAAAACCCAAGTCCCTAATCTGGGGACGTTCGATGTAACCTAATTGTTATTATTATTATTATACTCTTTTTTTTTTTGGGGGGGGGAGGTCGGGTGAAAAAAACCCTCATGCCCATGAATGCGGCCGAGGTCAGCACTGGGCATTCTCGCCTTCTTGGCGGCGCAGAGCAGGCCAGCTCTGGCTGCGAACGGCAAGCAAAACGCAATCGTCACTCGACTTGTCCCTGACTCTTCGTTTATAACATCGTAGTAGAGGAAGTAGTATAGCAAGTAGTACTTTTATGTAAGGATATGATAACATCGTAGTAGAGGAAGTAGTATAGCAAGTAGTACTTTACTATCAGACTGAAAAAGGCAGTCGGAACCAGCGGCGGAATGGTGTGCTTGCCGTGTCGTGCGTGAGTCTTGCGGTGAAGCTATGTGGGGTTGAAGCTAGTCCATTGCGCCTGTGCAGGCAGGCTTTTGCTTGCTGAAGCTCAAGTGAGCCGTAGAATCCAAGGAGAAAGAAATAGTTCACATGAAGAGCCTTTGTAAACCCAAAATGGGTTTGAGCTGCCAAAGCTGCGTCAGTCTGTGAGCATTTAAGGCATTTCATGCGCAAAGCGACAAGGGGCTTGGGTCAAGGACGGCGAACATTAAACCCTGAATCCTAAACCCCTGAACCCTAAACCCTAAACCCTAAACCCTTGATAGGTTTCACTGGTTTTGGGCTTCTAGGTTTGTAGGGCCACAGTGGCCCGATTGAGAAGGGAACCCTGCGCCTTTTCGCGGCTTTCTGGGGCATATATAAGGGAACCTGACTCCCGACCTAAAAACCCGAGAGCCCTCCCCCCCCCCCCCCCCCCCCCCCCCCCCCCCCGCCCCCCCACCCCGAAAAACAAGCAAAATGATAATCGGGCGGCCCTTCGGAAGTGGCAAAAGGCGTGCATTGATCTGACATTCTCCTAAACCCGTAACCCGAAACCCTAGACCCTAAACCCTGAACCCTGAACCCTAAACCCTAGAAAGAGGAACTTAAGGCAAGTTTGGACTCCGAGACCATGTCCACGCAAGGTCTTAGGGCCGCGCAACTTCAACCGACCTCAGATTAGAAGGCAATATTCCGGTCCCTGCAAATTACGGGGACAACAGCTAGAACACCACCCCCCCTAACCCCGAAGCCCTAAACCCTAAACCCTAAACCCTAAACCCTAAATTCACAGTTTTTGGAAACCGCAGTCTCACCGGCGCGTCCCGCTGCCCTGCGTGTGGGTGCCAGGTTCGGCCTACAGCGGAGCTTGTAACGCTAAGGCAAATATAGGGACTTTAGGGTTTAGGGTTTAGGGTTTCGGAAGTTTAGGGTTGTCAAAGTTATGGTCCCTGTTTGGATCCCTAGTATAATACGGCACCTAATACTTAGGGTACCCCAAAAGGGATCATAATTTTGACCACCACCCATATGACATATGGAAAGGCTTTCCGGAAACAGGGGTGCCCTTTTTGTGGGTTCCTAGAACGAGGGTTACACTATTTTTTTGGGGTATACATATACATACATATATATATATATATGTATATGAAATAAGGGTACCCCTGTTGGGTATCGCAGAACTCCACATGTCAAGGCTCCAAAATCGGAGATCCCCCCAAAACAGGAGGCTTCGACTTGGCGGGCTTCTCATTGCAATGCTGCTTAGGGCTGACATACCCTATGCCCAAGAAAGCTTAACCTTTTGTCAGTGAATGAATAAACAAATAAATAAATAAATATAAATATAAATATATATATATATATCTGTAGGATTCTATAAGACCAGGAACCAAAAGGCTAAAGGTTAGCTGCCCAGCCCCTAAGGCCTCATGCCTCCGGCAGCAGCTTCGCAAGCTCCATGCTGCTCCGGCCCGCCGCATGTAATGCATGGCAGGCCCCAGTGGTCCTGCAGCGCTTGCTGTCTCACGCACTCACAGCTCCCGCGTTAAGTTCTACAAGTAACTAGCGATAGACTCTTCAAAGATCTGCTTCGGAATGCTGCTCACTTAACGAATTGAAGCACAATCCGGGTGAACAATAATAATATCCGTGAGGGGCGAAGTGATGATGCTGACATTTGCTTGCATCGCATGCAGCAGAGTAGAAAAGTATCAGGGCTTGGATTAGGCTCTCATGGTGGAACCTTCTCAGTTGAGAACTCAGACGCGGTCTCAGCCCGCATGCTCTCAGTCACATGCTGCACATGAAAGATGCTTCGCCTGCTTCGCACTCATACGAGCTGATGGGCACGTTACATGTCTGGTTCCTCTTGCCGACTTGTATCTCCAAGTGATCCGTTGAGTCTGTTGCTCCATTCCCATCCGTGCACACTGGTGTCCCATGTGCATGCACAAGCTCTTTTGGAGTGCCTATCCATTAGGATTATTAGGACCAGACCCTTCAAAGAAGGAGCCGTAGTTTAAACAATTAGCAATGGCACCCAGGATGTGTAGTATAGGGCGTTCAGGCTGTTTTGGAGATAGGGAATGAAGAACAATGAAACCATGCCGTCCTGCTTTCTGGGCGAACGTAAGGTCGTGAGGGCAACGCGCGGGCCCCTCTCTGCTTCATTGCCTCCTCGAAGACGGTGCAGGAGGTTGGCGTGGCGGCCGCCAGTCCAGTGAAGAACTGTCCAATTGCCATCATCAAGTGGCTGCTTGCGGCTCCCCTGCAGCCAGCAGCAACTGCACGATGTCCGCATGGTTCTTGCAATATGCCCAATCAAGAGCTGTCTTGCCAACTGCGTCGACCATTTTCAAACTCGCCCGAGCCTCCAACAGGGACTGTGCAATGTCTGCACGGTTGTGGTAGGACGCCCAGTGAAGAGCCGTCTTGCGATCGTTGTCTACCAGGTCTGTGTGGGCCCTGGCCTCCACCAACAACCGCACTACGGCAGCTTGACCATGAACAGCTGCTTCGTGAAGAGCTGTCATTCTGCGATTGTCAGCCAAGTCTTTGTTGGCTCCCGCCTCCAGGAGCACGCGAACAATGCCTTCACGATTCCCAGAAGCAGCCCAGTGAAGAGCGGTCTTGCCATAGACGTCTGCGAGATCCTTGTCGGCTCCAGCCCCTAGTAGCAAGCTGACGATGCTAAGATGGCCTCGGGCAGATGCATGATGCAGGGCTGTCATGCCGTTCTGGTCACCTTGGTCTGTGTCAACACCCATCTCCAGCAATAAGCGCATGATGTCTTCATGGCCGTTGCAAGCTGCCCAGCAGAGACCGGTCTGCATGTGTGGCAGAGCTTCGCCGACAGCCTCGTCGCAGGCCGAGTCCCCACTTGCAGTAGACATCACCAACAAACGCGCGATGTGGGCGTGGTCACCGTCACAAGCCAACTGAAAGGCAGTCTTGCCAGAGTCGTCAACCATGCCGGTGTCAGCATCAGCATCCAGCAGCAGGAGTACGAGGTCCACGCAGCCACGGTCAACTGCATAGTGCAGCGCCGTCCGGCCACGATGGTCGGCCAGATCTGTTTGAGCACTGGCCTCCAACAGCAGCTGCATGATGCTGAGCTCACCCCTGTGGCATGCGGCGTGGAGAGCAGTTATCCCGTCAGAAGGTGCTGAGTTTGGATCTTGAAGATGTTGCAACATCGCTTCTACTTCCAGCAGCTTGCCACTCGACGCAGCGTTCTTGAGCTCGCGCGCCCGATCTCGAGATGAGCTGCAAAAGGGCAGCAGCACAAGCTGCAGTTCAGCGTCAGACTCCAAAGCCACATCGTCCTCTAGCGGCGTGTCCTCGCAAAGAAGCCTTTGCCGGAAGCGTGGCACGCCGCAGAGTTCGTGCAGGTGTTGCTTCAACTTCCTCACCTGGACTAAGAAGAAACCCAACTTGTCTCGAGGCCTGCAGCCCCTCCTGAAGCCCCCGTTTACAGGCGCCCAATCCTACCGAAATCCCTCTGCTGAATAAAACCAAGGCCCATAATGGCTTTCCGAAATTCGGGTACCTTATTGGGGTCCTCATTATTACAAGGGAATCCTACTATTTGGGGGGCCCCTTATTTCGTAAACTCCCATAGAACTCCTTTCAGAAGCAGAGTTGCGTTCCCCAGTTCCTCCACAGGAACGGCGGTCAGCACTTCCCCCGACGCAGCATTCCGCACGCGCAGCATGCTAAGCTTGCCGAGGCCTGCTTGCTTCCCTTTGGGGCTTTCGGACTCTAGGGTGTTCGCCTTTACGGCTTCAGGGCTTATAGGGTGCTTGCATTCGGACCAAGTCCGGGCGCCAGGGAGCTCGACTTCACGTGAGAAGTGGGCAGGCTTCCGAGCCATAAACGCCGCAGCCATGGGTAGCTTGAGCAAACCTAAAAAAGGGTTTACGGTTCACATACCCCAATGTGGATGGAGTAGTATAGGGATATGATCTGATCACAATTAGGGTTGATTTGGACCCCAAGCTAGAAAATTTAGCCATCTGAAATCTTGGCTTTTCCAGGCTTTTCAGGGCGACTTTGGCCTCCAAGTTAGGGTTTAGGGTTTAAGGTTTAGGGCTTAGGGTTTTGGGTTTAGGGTTTGCGGTTCAGGAGTCCTCTGGCTAGCTCGAATGAGGGGCCCACAAGAGCCTCAAGGGTGTCAACCCTAAACACTCGACCCTAGTCCCATTATTTACTTACAAACCACCCAAAAATCAACAACATAATAATGATCCCCATATTGCCCTTATCAGGAAGAAAAATATGAATTGTTTTGCTTTTTGGGGGTTGGCACTTTCAATCATTCTGGGGGGGGGGGGGGGGGGGTGCGGGGCTAAGGTTCGTAGAATTTAGGGTTTCAATGTGGTTTAGGGCTTCAGGGTTTCAAAGTTTTTTGGTTTTGAGTTTACAGTTTTTCTCCTCGCGCGGATGGGTAGTCTCTGGTACATACACGATGGCCCGTGGTAGGCAACATCGGAGTTTCGATTCACCGATTAGAAGAAAGCCTGGCCGGGGAGTGCGATACCTTAAAGTCCAAGCAACCTCAGGTTGAATGAAGGGAGGCGTTCGGAGGCTTCGGGGCACATTGCATTTTCAAGCTCAGGAGTTCAGGATAGTGGAATTCATGGTTGAGCTCTACACACACATACGAATATATAAAGATATGTATATATATATATATATATAGATATATAGAGAGATATATATATATACATGCACAGATACATAAATAAATAAATAAATAAATACAAACAAATAAATCTATACATAATGATATACCTACACACACACACACACACTGTGTATTTCGGCCTTTGATTTTGGGGTCTCAGGGCCACTTCGGAACTCCACCAGGTTCGGAACCTCATGTTAAGGATCCGCATTGGCTTTGCCAAGAACGAGGATGGGCGTGAAACACATCTGGGCCCTAAACCCTAAACCCTAAACCCTAAACCCTAAACCCTAAACCCTAAACCCTAAACCCTAAACCCTAAACCCTAAACCCTAAACCCTAAACCCTAAACCCTAAACCCTAAACCCTAAACCCTAAACCCCAAACCCTAAACCCTAAACCCTAAACCCTAAACCCTAAACCCTGCCGCCTCAGCCATGCCGGAGGAACTGATAAAGCTTGCCTCAGCCCGATGCCAAGGGTGCATCTTTGCTTCAGGGCTCCGCATTTCCTTCTTTAGTGTTTTCAGTGCTCAGGGTGTAGGGTTTTCAGTAGGGCTTTCAGGGTTCAGGGTTTAGGGTTTAGGATTTTCAGGGTTTAGGGTGTGGGGCTTTGGGAGCCTATGACGCACGAAGGTAAGCGCTGACTCTGGAGCCAACCCCAGCAAAACTGCCCTGCAAGCTTGAAACAACAAGCTCGACCCATAGTGTGTCAAACTCTAAGCCCCTTCAAACCCTAAACCCTAAACCCCAAACCCTACACCCTAAACCCTAAACCCCAAATTCAGATCAGGGTCGATTGTCAAGGAAGTCGTCGACGACGTACTTGTGGGTCTCCCGGCCCAGCGTCCACGCTTGGCAGCAGGGGCAGTGCAAGGCCGGTCTGCTGGAGGGGACCTGGCTTGGGCAGGATTGTTTAGGGTTATAGGGTTTAGGGTTTAGGGTTTAGGGTTTAGGGTTTAGGGTTTAGGGTTTAGGGTTTAGGGTTTAGGGTTTAGGGTTTAGGGTTTAGGGTTAACCCCAAATCTAGCCATAAACCCTAAACCAATAGCGTTTAGGGGAAGGAAGCTTCTCCCCTGGGCCCTATTAGCCTCCTGATGGGATAACATAGGGCCCGAGCCAACACCCAAAACCCAAAACCCTAAGCCACCGTTCTTGAAAGCCAGCCTTCTGGGGGCTACGGCTACGGCTTTCTAGCAGGGGGCCTGTGCCGAAGATCCTCATACAAGAGCCCAAATATCAGGGTTTAGGGTTTAGGGTTTAGGGTTTAGGATTTAGGGTATCACCTGAACCCCAAACTCTGCAAATCCAAGCGGCGGAGCAGCGGCAGGCTCTAACCTCTGCGGGCCTTGTCCAGAGAGAGAGTTCTGGTCTTGGCCCTAAACCCTAAATTCTAAGTTTAGAGTTGAAAATTCAGGGTGTAGGGTTCAAGGCTACACTGGATTTCATGGTGGGCTTGCCCCACTTGGCCTGCCTGCACCACTTTGACCTGCTGTGCCCCCATGCTCCACTTGCCCCACTTGCCCCACTTGCCCCACTGGCCCCACAAGCCCCATCCGTTCAGCTTTGCCGATCTCGCTGTGCCCCCCTCCATCAGCACCATGATGTTGGGATGCCCAAGTTGTGTGGCCGCGGGTTCGTTTAAAAAAAGCTCGACGTGATGTTCAAATGAATCTTTCATTAAACTGTGACATGTTTAGTAAGCAAGCACCTGCCAAATACCGTATGAACATGAGCAATGTTTGACCTTTAAAGGCATATCGAGTTTTAGTTTG